GTTTTGCCTAAGTTTTCTTCCATGTATTTTATGGTTTCAGATCTTACATCCATTTCTTTAATCCAATTGAGTTAATTTTCTTTGTTTCAATGAATAATGTGTTCTGAATTATTTTAATAAGGAAAATGTTCATTTCTAAGGAAAATATTCATTTCTTCTAGATTATCCAATTTCTTGGCATGAAGAGGGTCACAGAAGTCTCTTTTTCATTTTATTTTATTTTTACATCATTGTTCATTTTTAAACAATAATTGCTTCCCCCCACCCACTCAGGTGTAGTCCCCATAGAGTTTCCTTTACCAATGCACCTATGCACCATCACCTCAGTCCCCTGTGCTCCTCCCTTCCTCCCTCTGACCCCTCTCCTTCCTCCTCCCCTGCAGTATGTCTCTGATTTATAATTGGCCATTTTTGCTTTGTTGTGTTTTGTACTGTTATTATTTTTTACACTGATGTCTTATTTGGTATCCCTGTATTCCTGCTATAAGTGAAACCATCCAATATTTTTCTTTTTCCTTCTGGCTTATTTCACTGAACATAATTTCTGAGATGTCTACTGTAACTTCTTGTCTTTCATTACTGTTTTCTCCTTTTGCTTAGTGAATCTAGCAATAGTTTTGTTTATTTTGTTACCTTTTCAAGTCACCAGCTCTTGTTTGCACTTATCTTTGTACCTGTCTTTTATTTCTATTTCATTTATTTATAACATTACTTTCCTCAATGTAGCATTGTTTTGTTTCTTTTGTTTTTTACCTAGTTCTTTAAGATGCAAGGTTAGATTTTATTTTTTTAGAGCTTTCTTATTTCTTGATTTTGGCCTGCATTGCCATATATTTCCCTAAGTACTGCATTTGTTGCATCCAATAGGTCTGATTGCTCATGTCTTCACTTCTTTCATCTCTGAGTACTTTTTAAATTCTCCTTTAATTTTCTCATTAATTTAATAGTTGCATATTATTCAGTTCTCAAATATTTGAGAGATTTTTCATTTTTCATGATAAAATTTTACTTTGCTCTTATTGTGATAAGATATTTGATATGACTTTACCCTTTCTCTTTCTCTCTCTGTCTCCCTCTCTGTCTCTCTCTCTCTCTCTCTCTCTCTCTATATATATATATATATATATATATATACACACATATATATGTATATATATATATGTAGCTCAACATGTGTTCTCTCAAGAATGTTTCATGTGTACATGTGAAAAATATGTACTAGCGTTTTGGGGGGTGTCATGCACTATATCTATTTACCCCATCTCATCTATTTCCTCATGCAAGGTTGTTGCTTCCTTTTTGAATTTCTGACTGGTTGATCTGTCCATTGATTGTAACAGTGTGTTGAATTCCCTTTCTACTATGTATGTGTTGCAGTTGATGTCTGGTTTTAGTTTTGTCCATAGATGCTTTATATATTGTGATACTTTTTTTTAATTCTTGGTTTTATTTTATTTTTTAAAGATTTATTTACTTTTATACAAGAACTGGGGTACAGGTCAGAGGTGTGGGAGGGTGAGAAGATTCATTAGCAACAGAGCGGGGAACAGAACAGGCAGACAAACCAAAATACACTGCTGAGGGGAGCAGCGGGCGAGACAGGAGAGGTCTGTCACACCATGTGGGTATCTCCTTGGCCAGCCGGGAATCAAACCTGTGCTGCAGAGGCTGCGACCAGCTTCACAGTGCTGTGCTCAACCAGCTGCACCACCGGGGAGGTCCTATATTATGATACTTTTTCAGATGGCGCATATATATTGAGGAGTTTTTTTGTCTTCCTGATGCATTGACATATGCATATTAATAACTGCATATGTCCATCCTGTCTCTTGTTACCATTTTATTTGAAAGTTTCCTTTAACTGACATAAGCATAACTGTCCTTGCCATTTTTTTAGATACCATTTGGTTGCAGGATTGTTTTCCATACTTTTTCACTTTTAGCCTGTGGTTATCTTTGGAACTCAATGGATTTTCTAGAGACAGTAGGATGTTGTGTATTGTTTGCTGATTAAACCAGCCACTCTGTGCCTTTTGATTGGTTCATTTAGTCCATTTACATTAAAGGACAAATACTGATATATGAGGACTACATAAGGCCATTTTGCCTTTAATATTCTGAATCTCTCTACTTATTTCCATGTTTCATATTGTGAACTTTCTTCTCTTCAATATAGATAGAGCTCCTTTCAATATTTCTTGTCAGAAGGGTTAGTGTTGGTAAACTCCATCAGTATTTAAATGTCTGAAAAGGCCTTTATTTCTCTCTCCTATTAGAGTCTTTTTATTTTTTTATTTTTTATATTTAAAAGGACAAGTTTATTAGGAAAAGTAGAAAGAAAAAAAAGAGATAACTGCATAGACCCAGGTGGGCCTAGAAATAGTTTTTTTTAAATATAGTTGTCTTGATGCAGTTTTTATCTTTGAGCACTTTGAATTTATCATTTCTGTCCTGGCCTGCAGAGTTCCTGCTGAGAAGTCTGATATAAGCATGATGGGTACCATTTGGTCCCCTCTTTATGCAACCTTCAGTATTCTTTGTCCTGAAACCTTGATGCTTTCATTACTGTGTACTTTGGTGTAGGTCTCATTGAATTATATAACCAGATATTTATTTTAGAATCATGGACTTGTATGTTTAGTACCTTCCTCAGGTTTTAGAAGTGTACATCTCTAATTTTTTTTTGGAATGAGATCTCTGTTCCTTTCTTTGTCTCTTTTCTTTCTAGAACATCCATTCTCCTATGTTGCTTTTCTTAATAAAGTGCTTCCTCATTTTTGTGTCTTATTTATCTCTCTTCTCCTGCATTGGTCTTTTGTGTATTGCTGCTTTTTAAGATCAGTGACTCATTCCTCTATTTGTTCCATTCTGCTTCCATAACTTTCTTTATAGTTCTCACTCTCATTTATTAAGGTATTTACATCATAAGCCTCTGTTATTTTCTTACTTTAAGCTTCAGTTTATACCTTCTGCTCATTAATTTTGTATGTGAGCTCATTAATATTTTTAAAGTTTGTTGTATCTTGTTGGTTCACTTTTCTGAGTTCTCTTATATCACTTTGATTTAACTTTCTGTGTTTTGTTCTAGCTCTTTGAGTTTATTTTTTGTAATAGTTTTCAGCTCTGATGTACCGATAAATGCTCCCAGGTCTTTTGGGTAGATTCTGGAAAATTATTCTCTCCTTATGGTGTCATATTACTTTGAGGTCTGAAATTGTTTTATTTTATTTATTTATTTTTTGCCCACTCACCTTCTTTAAATTTCTGTATTTGTTATTATCTGTAGCAGTGACTTAAGGCATTTTCTACTTTCATTTTTCCCGTAGGTGGCACTGTGGGGTGATTTGATTTTTGTGGCCTTTGTTAAGTTCAGTAAGCACAGAGACCTATCTGTGCTTTTGCTGATTCAGGAGGGTGGAAAAGAAACATGGATAGGACCAGCTGATGGTAGGAATGTGCTAGGAGAGGCCTGGCTCATCATGAGCTTGCATAGCCCAAGTGCCCAGCCCACTCTGGATGGCATGTTTTGATTCATTTATTGGGAGTCTGTAATTTATTGCTATATTTGTAATAAATGTCATTCATTGAGGTTTTTTAAGTACATGAGAACAAATTTAGCTGATCATAAAATTGATTAGTACACATGCAAGACTGTACTATATTTATTATGAATACATACACTTTGATTATACAATCTAAATTTACCCTTTGAAGTAAGAAAACAATTCATATATTGTTTTTTCCTCCTGATAGCTATAATTTCTTTTCAAAAGGTTGTAACTTTAAAAAAAAAAAAAAAACAGATCTGTGTCTGTTCTTTAGTATTTAGATTAGCTGTGATACTCTTATTAAATCACATGTTATATGTCATACACATTATTTTCCATTGTTTCCTGGAACTGATTAGAGAGTTCCATTTTAAATGTCAGAAAGGATATATTGAAAGCAGTGTAAGTCTAGGAAGAATGTGAGGTCTAGTTTCTGTGTGGTACCAAACTATATCTCCTTAGGTAAAATACAGCAACAGAATATCAAATAAAATGCCATGATTTGCAACATTTGTTCTCAACACATTCTCACAGGCAATCTACTCTCTTCTCTCCACAAAAACACAAATTCACATATTGGACTTGCTAGGATATATATTTCAATTTGAAATTCATTTTTAGGTAGGCTACTAAAAAATCAGTTATTTTTCTTTTTTTGTACCTCTGTTGTAGACTCTCTGTGTCCTGTTTAATTAATCCTTTGACACTTCTTTTCCTGACTCTTAATCTCCAAAATGGTGGTCAACATCTTATCATGTTTCTAATATATTTTCTAAGGATGCTTACAAGATTCATTGAATTAAACCAATATATAAAACCTATAGTTTATTGGATTGAAAAACTCTGGAAAAAGAAGATAGGTTGATTAGGAAATTTTCTGAAGGCATAAACATGATTGTTCTTCTAAGACTGCATTACCTTCTTAAAGTTCTCTTATTCACCCTTTTAATTAATAATAACTTTAGAAGACTTATGTATTATACATATCTTTTAACTTATCAAAATGCAGCATAGTGATATCATCCAACTTTGTTTTTTTAAATATATATATAGTGTGTGAATATGAATGCAGGTGTCATAGAAAAAAAGTTTTAAAGAATGTACATTAAAATGTTCACAATTGTAATATCTAGGATTGTGGGTAATATAAATGACCTTCCATTAAAATTTGTATTTTCTGCAATGGCACCTATTATTCGTGTGATTAAACACATTTAAAATCAACATTGTGTAATTGCTATCTAAATTTTTTATTCATTTTATTCTAGCATACATTAATGTTATAGAAATTAATGCTATGAAAATGACCATTTGAAAGTTGAGGTGCTCAGAGTAATACTTGTGCAATGAATTGAACTATTTTTATGTATTAAAAGTAACAATGCAGCTCACCCTTATGATCTTCTCAATAATATTATTTTATTCTAATTTTTAATTTTTTTTTTTTTACAGTTACAAGACCGCACTCAGTTCAGTGACCAAGACTTAACCACCCTTAAAAAGTACTGGGACAATGGCATGACCAGCCTTGGCTCTGTTTGCAGAGAGAAAATTGAAGCAGTTGCGACTGAATTAAATGTTGACTGTGAAATAGTTCGGGTAAGACACTTTTCAAGAGTTTTCATGCTGTGGTTGATAAGTGTCATAAAAAGCTTAAAATGTATGGGGTGTTATAAAAATGCCATCAATAAAGTGAAAATGATAAAACACAAAATGGGAGGAAATATGTTTAAAAAAATATGTTCAAATCATATATCTGATAAGGAGCATGTATCCAGAGTATATAAAGAATTTTTCGTTTCAATAATAAAAAAGCAAAGTATTTGAACAGAAATGTATCCAAACAAGATATACAACTGGCCAGTAAACATATATAAATATATTCAACATGATTTGTGATTATGAAAATCAAAACCACAATGAGGTACCATCAAACACCCACTGTGATGGCTATAATAAAAAAGACAGATAGATGGTAATAAGTGTTGGGCATGATGTGGAGGTATTAGAAACTTTACATACTTCTGGTGAAAATGTAAAATGTTTTAGCCACTTTGAAAAGCAGTCCTCAACATTTCTAGCATATACTTATCATATGACCCATCAATTCCACTTCTGGGTTTATACCCAATATAAATAAAAAGTATTTCCCACTTAAAAACTTATACATGGATGTTCATAACAACATTGTTAATAATAGCCAAGAAGTAGAAACAGCCTAAAGAGCTATCCATCAAGTGAATGAATAAACAGAATGTTATATGTGCTTATTTGGGAATGTTATACAGTCATATAAAGCAATGAAATACTGAAACATGCTACAATATAGATGAATCTTGCAAACATTATGGTAATTGAAAGAGGCCAGTTTTAAGAGACCACATGTTTTATTATTCCATTTATATGAAATGTCCAGAATATGGACATCTGTAGAGTCTGAAAGGAGATTAGTTGTTGTCAGGTCTCTGGTAGGGAGGAATGGGGAATGGCATAATAGGTTATGGGGTTTCTTTTTGGCAAATGAAAATGTTTTCGACTTAGACAGTAATGATTATTGCACAATCCGATGACTATCTTAACAATTCTTTTATTATACATTTTGAGTAAATTATATTCTATATTAAAAATAACACACTGATGCTGTTTAAAAAATTGTATGAGATGATTTGAAAAATGTCACACAAATTATATAACAAATGGTAGATTGAAAAATTATATTGATCAAACATGGTAGCTGTGGTTTACATTTCATTTGAAAGATATTGATATCACCTCACACCTGGAATGGCTGTTATTAAAGACACTTCTCCAAAGAAGACATACAAATGGCCTATAAGAACATGAAAAAATGAGTAATATCAATGGTCATTAGGGAAATGAAAACCAAAAACATAGTAAGATACCACCTCACTCCTGTGAGTGTGGTCCATATTAAAAAAAAAAAAAAAAAAAAAAAAAAACAGGAAAAAAAAAATGTTGGCAAGGGTATGGAGAAAAATGAACCTTTCTGAACTATTGATGAGAATATAGAATGGTCCAGCCCCTATGGAAAACAGTATAGATTATACCATATGATCCAGAAATTCCACTCCTTGACATTTATCCAAAGAATGCAAAATCATTCAAAAGGATGTATGCACACCTCAGTAATACATATATACATGCATATAAAAGAAAAACACCAAACTGAGATATAATTACCTTTAAACTTTTGCAAAAATGCAATCTTAAACCCAGCAGGAATCATTAGTTAGGTAATTTACCTGATAACCCCCTACCATCTCCTAAAGGAAAATAACCAATAACCATCCTACTTTGTTGTCTAGTAGAATTTCCTTATGTCTATTAATAAGTCTTTCATTTTGTGCAGCTCCTTGGAGCTCCATTATTTCAGCAAGATTGGATGATGTCTGATTTGAATTTATTGTGGTTGAAACAAACTCTTAAAAATAAAAAAAGAAAGAAATGCTGGCAAATATGTGGAGAAAAAGGAGCCCTCATGTACTTTTGGTGATAATGTAAATTGGTGCAGCCATTTTGGAAAATAGTATGAAGATTCCTCAAAAAAAAAAAAAAAAAAAGAATGGAAATAGCATATGATTCATCTATTCCATTACTTCGTATTTATCTAATAAACACCAAAACACCAATTGAAGCAAAATGTGCAACCCCATGCTCATTGCTAAATTGAAGTGAAATATGCAACCCAGTATTATTCATAATAGCCAAGAGTTGGAAACAACCTAAATTTCCATCTGCAGATGAGTGGATAAAGAAGATGTGGTACATACACACAATGGAATAAACTGCGCTATTTAAAAATTATGAAATTCCACCATTTGCAAATACACTGATGGAAATGGAAGGGATTGTGCTATGTGTACTAAGTCAGAGAAACGATATGATTTCACTCATAAGTGGATAATGAACACAATAAAGAACAAACAAAACAAAAACTCAAAGTACAAGAACAAAACAGTGGTTACTACAAGGGAAAGGTGAAGCTAAGAAGTAAATAGAAATGCTTTAACATCTTTCCTACTATTTAGGAACTTGGAATCTAGCAAGAAGGATGACACAAGAATACAAATGGCTAAAGAAGGATTGAAGTGAGATCATAGTATAAGGATCCTAAATAAAAGAACAGGGAAATGCAGAACATGAGTTTTTGTTGTAATTGTTGATTTTATTTTTTTAAAAAAAAATCAAAGTTAAGGGCCTATCTGATGGCCTAGGGTTGAATTCCCAGCAATATCACCTTTATCGCCTGAGTTCAATCTCTGGCCAGGGAGCTAAACCACATAAGGTACAGTGGACCTCTCCTGTCTTGCCAGCTGCTCCCCTTAGCAGTGTATTTCAGGAAATTCGCCTTTTCTGCTCCCTGCACTGTCTCTGGTGAATCCTCTCAGTCCCTGCACCTCTGGCCTACCCCAGTTCTATGCAAAAAAAAAAAAAAAAAAAAAAAGAAGTTATATATGCATATAATCTCAAGGAATCAAGTTCTGTAGAAATTGCTAGAAAAGCAATACTTCCTCATTCTTCCTTCTATCATTTCCCATTAGATGGGTCAACCACTTTCTACTCTTAGATGATTCCTTTGGTATTTACTTCTATCAATGAATAATGTACTATATTAATTAGAGTTAGGTTTGGCTGTAAGTAACAGAAGGACTCAATAGTGACTTGAACAATATATTTCATTTCTATATCCGGGTTATTCAATTCAGATCTGGGAAAGCAGTTCTGCTCTATGAAGTCTTCAGAAATTCCAGTGCCTTCACCTTCATCCTGCCATTCTTACAATATAGCACTTTTCTGCAGGGTCCACAATTACTGTATCATCTGAAAAGTTTAATAGAAATGGGGAGAAAGGACCAAAGATATATATACCATCTATCTTTTAAAGTGGATTCCCAGAAACTGCCAGAAGACACTTACCTCCCATGGTCATCATACCTAACTGCAAGGGAAGCTGCAAATTTAGTTATTTTGTGCCAGTCATGTTCTCAGTTAAGCTTTTTATTATTCTGGAAGAGGGAGAAGATAGATATTGGGAAACACCTATCAGTCTCATACCTGTTGATATTGCTTCTCCTTGATTTTTCAGTGCTAGGCATTGTGGATTGATTTTCCATTATGAAATGTAAGACTTTTAAAAACAATCTTTCAAGATCTCTTCATTTATCATTTCACCTGCATTGCATTCTTCCTTTCTCCTTATCTTCCCAGTATAGTGAATTTATAATTTTGCTTAGTTTCATATTCAGTGTTAGCATTGTTATATTATACATGATAATGCTTTATACATATGTAAGTAATTTACACATTTGAAGTATGTATATGATTTCTCCTTTTCTGCGTGACATTATTTTGTATTCTTGGCATACATAAGCTTAGTTTTAATTTTTTGTATTTTTTGTTTAATTTCTAGGTACTTACTATAATTTACCCTCAAACTTTTTGACTTCCTTAGTTTTATAGATCTCCTTTCTATACACTCATACGTGGTTAGTAGTGTACAACTTACTTTATCAAAGAAAATTTTCCTGGACTCTTCAGATCTGCTCCAATCTGGATTTGTTTCTCTGCACCTAGAGCACAACTGTTATGCTACAATTTACATTTTCAATCTGTTCATCCTTTTGCTGTACTTTCAGCAAATATCTTCAAGTTTATCTTCCAATTACTCTACTAAACTTTTAATTTTTGTTTGTATTCAATCTGCCACTGATACTAATAAACATCATGTGCAATGACAGCAGCTTTCAGGCTCCATTGACTGCCGTAAGGGCTCTTTAACATCACACAATGTAAGAAGAGAAGACAGAGAAAGTATTCCTAATAACATACTCCCTCAAAATGAAATATCCAATATCCGCAGCTAGGATTCTCTTTGATACCAAGGGATTTTTAAGCATAATTCCCATAAAAATGACCAAGTCATTGATAACAGTCAGCTATTGCTATGTGCAGATCTCTCTACCACCATAGAAAGTTCTAACATATAGGGGAAAAAAGGAAATGTTACCATTTCATTCTTACTGAAGACTAGTAAATACTTCTTTTATAGGTAAGAATAGGGAACTATTTATGATTATTTTGTTTCTAGTGATTTTCTCATGCCCATGGCAGAGAGAAAATTTGAAAAGGTGTTTTAAGAGGAATTCTTCAATATTTGCTAGATTATCTCCAAAGTAGAATTTGTTTGTGACATATGTTTTTGATATTTCAGGAAAAACTGTACTTTTAAATCTAATAGACATTCCAGTTATTGATCACCAAAATGGACTTTGCATCGGGATGTCAATGTCAGCCATTACCTGTGTGTAACTTGGAATATTTAGATGTACATTTTCTTGTGTTACACTTCTAAGATAAGAACGTGACATAATTTTCTTTAACTTTATTATTATTATTATCATGTGCATATATTTCTTTAACTTAGAATGTCATTCCCAGGTAATTGCCTATTATTTACTGACTTATTAATGAAAGGTAAACTGAACATCTATTTTCCACAACATTTCTAGGTGCCATGGAAAATACGAAGTTCTTTGGAGGAACTTGAAATTGAGCGTTGTCAAAATTTTTAATTTCTC